CATGGTAAGTAGTTAGGATTAACAAACTATATTTAGGGGAAATAATTGAAGGGTAATTGCATTTCCAAGGTTCAGACGATTCGTCAGTGTATGTGTTGTTAATTTTGAGTGATGTAACGGATTTTTAGTACGCTGAAGATCCATCGGTTGTTCAAATAACTCGGTTGAACCTCCAACAAACTGACTCGGATAATATATCTTAACCCCATTTTTCTCAACGTAGTAATGCTTCAGTCAATATTGAGGGTTGAAGTGAACACAGTGATAAGTACCACTTCACTTGGTGAGAATTTACAAAGGGCAGATTATAAAAACCATAGTTCCTGGTAGGGAGTAAACGCTTCATGAGAGAAACTCGCAGTTTTATTTTGGACAAAACATCTGTGTTTCATGATGCAGTCTAAACTATTGTTGTCACCAAAATGTTGAACATGCGCCCAAACGAATTTGAACACCAACAGGACAATAAATAGCCTTTCATTCTTACAACACTCTAGGAATTACTACAAGGTATGTACGCATAATATACAATCGTTAATTACATGGATAGTTAGTTTTGTGAGAGTTAAATCATACATGCCTTAATATTAAGTGTAAAGTGAACATTTGATCAAAATACTTAAGGTTAATAATAGCACAGTTTATTCGAAATAGACTCAAATATTACTTTAGTTTTCAGTTACATCAATATAGTTCCTGATAGATAGTGGACGCTTTTGTAACTTGGTGCATCACACCACCTATTCGTTCAATGTAAAATTCGTATCCGACAGAACTAATAGTTTCATACATTCTAAATTCGTAATAACTACACCATAACCGTCGACCACATAGTTACATTAAATTTGTATGGATAAAATAAGTCATTATATTGGTTATATAATAAGATATCTAGTTAGTTGTAAAGAGAAACTATATCCGAGGTAGCCTTCTCCTATAAATAAGTTGTTTAGTAGCCACCTGTTTTATGTGAATCTGAATATTCCTTCCTTTAATTGGTTTTGTGTTATTCACAATTAAAACAACTCAAACTGGATACACTTACTTACGCCTGTTACTCCCAATGGAGCATAGGCCGCCGACCAGCATTCTCCAACCCACTCTGTCCTGGGCCTTCTTTTCTAGTTCCATCCAATTCTTGTTCATTTTTCTCATATCTATCTCCATTTCCCGGCGTAATGTATTCTTTGGTCTTCCTCTCCTCCTTCGACCTTGAGGATTCCATATGAGGGCTTGTCTTGTGACGCAGTTGGTTGTTTTCCTCAATGTGTGTCCTATCCACTTCCAGCGCTTCTTCCTGATTTCTTCCTCCACTGGGATCTGATTTGTTCTCTCCCACAGTAGGTTGTTGCTTATAGTGTCCGGCCAGCGGATCTGAAGTATTTTGCGTAGACAACTGCTAATAAACACCTGTATCTTCTGGACGATGGATTTCGTAGTTTTCCAGGTTTCCGCGCCATACAGTAGAACTGTCTTGACATTTGTATTGAAAAATCTGACTTTGGTGTTGGTTGTTAATTGTTTTGAGTTCCAGATATTATTCAGTTGTAAATATGCTGCTCTTGCTTTGCCAATCCGTGCCTTCACATCTGCATCAGATCCACCGTGTTCATCGATGATACTGCCCAAATATGTAAAGGTTTTTACATCTTCCAAAGCTTCTCCGTCAATTGTGATTGGATTGGTACATGTTGTGTTGTATCGAAGAATCTTGCTTTTCCCTTTGTGTATATTGAGACCTATTGCTGCTGAGGCTGCAGCTACACTGGTTGTCTTCTCCTGCATTTGTTGTTGTGTATGCGATAGAAGAGCCAGATCATCTGCGAAGTCTAGATCATCCAACTGGATCCTAGATGTCCACTGTATCCCGTGCTTCCCTTCAGATGTTGATGTCTTCATGATCCAGTCGATCACCAGGAGAAAGAGAAAGGGTGAGAGTAAGCAACCTTGCCTGACACCGGTCTTTACTTCGAACGACTTTGTCAACTGTCCTCCATGAACGATTCTGCAGATTAATCCATCATAGAAATTTCGTATGATATTGACTATCTTCTGAGGCACGCCGTAGTGTCGAAGAAGCTTCCATAGGTTGTTCTGTCCACGCTGTCAAATGCTTATTCGTAGTCAATGAAGTTGATGAAAAGTGATGAATTCCATTCAATCGATTGTTCCACAATGATCCGTAGAGTTGCGATTTGGTCTGTACACGATCTAACCTTGCGGAATCCTGCTTGTTGGTCGCGAAGTTGGGCGTCTACGGAGTCCTTCATCCTGTTCAACAATACCCTGTTGAAGACTTTTCCTGGTATTGAAAGAAGAGTGATTCCCCTGTAGTTGTCACAGTTGCTGAGATCGCCTTTCTTTGGTATTTTGACTAGAAGTCCTTCTTTCCAGTCTTTTGGTACCTGTTCCTCATCCCAGATCTTTCTGAAGAGAATGTGGAGTATCCTTGCAGTTGCCGCTACGTCTGCTTTCAGTGCCTCTGCTGGAATGCTGTCTAGTCCTGCTGCTTTGCCACTCTTGATTTGTCTGATAGCCATGCTGATCTCTTCAATTGTTGGTGCGCCAACATCAATTGGGAGGTCCGTGAGTGCTGCTTCGATGTTGGGTGGGTTCAGTGGGGCTGGTCGATTCAAGAGTTCTTTGAAGTGTTCTACCCATCTGTTTCGTTGTTCTTCAATGTTGGTGATTATCTTGCCTTCCTTGCTTTTCACTGGTCGTTCTGGTTCACGGTGATTTCCAGAGAGTTTCTTTGTTGTTTCATATAGTTGTCTCATGTTTCCTTCTCTGGCAGCCTTTTCCGCCGTCAATGCCAAATCTTCCACATATTTACGTTTGTCGGTTCTGATGCTCCTTTTCACTTGCTTGTTTACTTCTGTGTATTCAGCCTGTGCCTTGACTTTTTCTGCTCTTGTTCGACTGGTATTGATTGCTGCTTTTTTGTTCCTCCTTTCTTGAATCTTATCCAGTGTATCGACCGTGATCCAATCCTTGTGATGGTGCTTCTTTTGGCCCAGAACCTCATGACATGTTGAAGTGATTGCTTCTTTTATCTCTTTCCAGTTGCTCTCCATAGTAGTTCCTTCTCGATTGAGTAGATCATGAATGGCTTGGAACTTACTGCTGAGGGTTATCTTGAATTTATTGAGTTTGTCATTATCCCGAAGAAGAGACGTATTAAATTTTTGTGATATTGTCCTCCCCGTTGTCCAGTGCCTCTTGAGTTTCAATTTCATCTTGGCGACCAGCAAGTGATGATCTGATGCTATATCAGCTCCTCTCTTTGTTCTCACGTCCTCCTGAACCTTTTGTTGATGCAGATATGGTCGATTTGGTTCTGTGTGGTGTGATCCGGTGAAGTCCATGTGGTTTTGTGGATGCGTTTATGTGGGAATATAGTCCCCCCTATGACCAGTTTATTGAAGGCACATAGATTTGCAAATCTCTCACCATTTTCGTTCCTTTCTCCGAGTCCGTGTCGTCCCATGATCTCTTCATATCCGGTGTTGTCAATTCCAACCTTGGCATTTAGGTCTCCCATCAGAATAGTCAGGTCTTTTGTTGGGCACTTCTCGACGATTGACTGCAGCCTATCGTAGAATTGATCTTTAGCGTCTTCGTTGTATTCGTTGGTAGGCGCATAACGTAGGCGCATGACGTTCATTGTAATCCCCGTTTTCTTGGTTTTGAAGGAGGCTTTGATGATCCTTGGTCCATGAGATCCACATCCTATAAGTGCATTTTGTGCTTGTTTGGACAGCATCAATGCAACTCCTTGTGCATGTGGAGCATTTTCTTGTTCATGTCCGGAGTATAACAGCAGCTCCCCTGAAGCTAGTCGTTGTTGTCCAACTTGCGTCCAATGTGTTTCACTGATCCAAAGCACCTCTAAATTGTATCTCCTCATTTCTGCAGCAATTTGGAAAACTCTCCCAGTCTCCCACATTGTGCGAGCATTCCATGTACCTAAATAAATGGTTGCTCTGGTTGTCAGAAGGGGCATCGGCCTCGTGACTTCCGAAGAAACTCGGCTTTCATCGTGAGGCGTCATAATTCTTCTAAACGAAGACCTTCTGACTCCCAGGGCAGAGTTTAAATGGTTTGAATAATTCTTTCTGGTTAGCGTTTTTTTAGCGAGTTAGTTTTCTACGGGATGGGGTCGCTAACCCCATGCCCAACCCTCCTCCTTTATCCGGGCTTGGGACCGGCAGTAGCCCCCGGAAAGGGGCTCCAGGCGGATACACTACAATGTTACAACTTGTATCGAATTCATATCGAAATTAAGCGTTAAAAAATCGAGAATTTCTCGCTATCATTAATATACACAAATTCAATGCTAAATCATTCTTACTTTAGAAGTCCATCTTTGTCTAGAATACTTAATTTCAACGTACTTCCTGCTGTACATTTTGGTAATCATTTTATACAGAACAATAATTATCAATTCATTTATTTTCTTCTTTCACATTTTACAGTATATCATTCCTAGTTGATTTTATTATGAGTCAGTATCTTTAAAGCTTCTCTTAGATACCAAATTTTTATGGATATATTATTTATAGTGCAACTTAACTAGTTCACTTTAGCTAAATTGTTTGATCCTGATACGTGTAAACTAATAGTCTTTGAAAGCATATCATTTTGTTCTTGAAGAAAAAACAGTGAAAGGTTTTTTTTCTTACAATGTTTGTTCCAGTGTGGATAATCTGTTGCTTTTGTTTCTATTAGTATTACGTAGAAATAAGTACATCCTTTACTTATGCTCGTTACTCTTCGTGATAAAGTATAGGCAGTCGAAAACTAAGCATCAACTAATACTATATATTATTATTAAGAGAAAAGAACCAACAAATATACAATTTTAATGTTATCATTTAGTCAAGTGATTTTATTAAAAAAAGAAAACGAACCACATTAAAGTTATAAAAAGTCATTTCTAATACATTTTTGTGTTGAATACACTGAAGAATGTACATTGAGACTGGATTAACTGTCAAACGTTAACTTTGAGCAAATCCTGTAGACTGCTTATTGAATGATCGAGAAGGAGCAAAACCCAAGATCTTCTGTACATTCTTAAAAAAACGTAAAATTTATAAATCCAATGAATTTCGGCTTTATGAAATTAACAATCAATTATTAATACATTTCGATAATGTAATAAGAAAACGGAAATTATCAGAACTATGTGATACATTAGCGCAATACATTTCGAACAATCTGATCACATATATACTTGTTAAGATTATTTATATATAAAAATAAAAGGGAGTAATACATTCTAACCGAGTGGGTTACTGACTCCAACTTTATCTTATCAACTGAGTAAAATCACTAGACCTTATATAAAAAAGGTATAGATCAATATAGAGTTGTACTTGATTACGGAGTTGTATTGAATTATTATTTTTTAACATTATATTAGTATTATCTGACATTTCGCCCATTTCAAAAATGTTTATATATATATTAAAACTACGAGTGATAACCTTGTAGACATCAGTTGTTTAAGGTTAATCTTTACTACTAAATCAGAAATTAATTTTGGGGTGAAACAATTGATCCTAAGAGCATATTTTTTAGTACCCGCCTTTCTTAAATTTACTCACTTTCCATACTTATCCGAAACACCTGTCTATATTATAGATTATGATCCTATCTAGCAACACATTTTCTTATGGAGCTCAATAATTTACTTATACGAAAACTTGTCATATCATAGACTTATCAAAATCCGAATTATACTGTACAACTAAAAATTTGGCTGATAATAGTTCTATGGCCAAATCAAATGAGTAGTCAAAATGTTTTTTTTTCTTCAAAAGATTAATAATCACAACTAATTACGGCACTAATTTATTCTATCGAAACAAAGTACACTGAACAAAACTTCGATAACGGTTTATTCCTTTACCTATATTCATGGTGAATAACTTATTTTAGAAAGTTCAGTGAACATCTAGGGTTCAAACATTTGAAAATATATTTAATAGGAAGAACATAATGTAGTAAATTAATACATAGAAGAATAAGATGATATGTTTATAATTGGAAACCAAGAATACGAATATCAAAATATTAAAGTGGAATAACCGTGGTCCTTTTTAGAAAATGCATGAAATGAGATGTGTATGTATTTGCCTAAATATTGAGAACAGTAAAAAGCTATATAAATAATCGTACTTATGTTAATTTCTATGAAATTACCTGTCGGATTGACATTGTGCACAATATATACACAAAGACAAAAGAAGCATCTGTGAAATCACTGCCTGGGAGGTTTCTATGAGATAGTCCTTGAATCCATGAGAAAGGGACAAACGGCAATTTGGCTACAACACGTCCATCAAACCTAATCAGAAGTATTGCGAATAAAATATTTACAATAACACCAACAAGGGTAATATAATAAATTAGTAAAAAATGTCAATTCATTAAACCCACAAATCAAATACAGCTACATATATTCGGCCTTGATTAAGGTTAAACGTAGGGTATTAGGGGATGATAGTAAGTCGGTTGATAAGGCTACCAATCTTCATCGACTGAAATAGTTGGGCCACATATTACATATTCTCAACCACTGACTACCACGGTGTGCAATGCTTACTAGTGTTGGAGACGGATGGGAGTAAGGGGCAACCAAAACATGGCATCAGTCCATAAAGTCACTGACTTCTGGTCTGAGCCTTCTTGGTAGATGCAGACTACTTGGTTGGGGTCCGCGCGACTATCGTAACCAATGGTTGAAAACTGGTTCATAATCGACCACAATGACGTACGTGTATACATTCTTCGTCTTCCCTTAAACCGTGAAGCTAAAATTACATTATACCTTTTTTTCTACGAACTATTTCTTTCCTCCTATCCTTGTATGCAATCTTAATTAAAAATATATTACACCCATTGAGGTAATTGCTTCTATGAATTTGGTATTCATCTTGTTGTGCTAATGAGGTATGGCAACTTGGACCGATGCATATATGTGCCTGGTCCTACGTTGTAGATGACTGACTTTGAGTTCGGCAAACTTCATGTGTGAGTAATGTGCAAACCAAGGTTCAAATCTGTGACCCAGTTTCTAGGAATTGAGTGTTTTAATCAATAAGCTAATGTCCTATTAAATGGAACCCAGGATTTACGCGATATAATTTGGCAAACAAGTATAGACTCAGTCAAGCCAATTGCATGAGAGGGATAATAATAATTAAGTTTGCCTGGATCTCGAAAAAGGAAGTGATCGGTTGGTTGAATGCCAACTCCTAATGAGTTTCACATGCAAGAAATAAAAGTCTTGATGCTTTCATTTTTGGATAAAACTCATAACACAAACGCATCGTCTATGTTGAATAACCTATTGCTCTAATCATAATTTGTCTCTAGGAAATTTCTATGCGTAGCTTTGGAAATGTTGTTTTTTGTAATTTACATAACGTGATTAATTGCTAGATGAAACTTTAGATAAATGGAATACTTATCACGCTTATCCAAAATGGTCCATATGAGACCGAATGCAAATTCTGACTGAGCCAATAACATTATATAAAACAGGCGGCAGCGACCATAATATTAGCGAAGTAAAATACATAAAATGCACAGCACAAAACAAGAGAAATGTGACATTGACTTGCCACCTACGCTAAACCTTAGACATCGGGATTTAATTAAAGCGAGTTATATCACATTTTTATTCCATCTACAAATCATAACTTCTAGCATTTATTTCATGGTAGCTAAGCGAAACAATGGTAACAATAATTATACATAATGATATTTTTTCTTTGCAATGGGCGATTACAAGTGATTTTTGAAGATGGTAAAATATATGATTATTTTGGTTCAAATATTTATGATATGCCAAACTTTCATTGAGAAAATGTTATATACGTCGGTGGAAATAATGAAAATTCATTGTCATTGCCAAAACACACTGACATATATCTAGATATTTAACAAAAAGCAAGCAAAGCTAAGCATTACTTCACTTTATTTTACATGTGGTTTGGATTGTAAGTTACATTTTAGATATTGTGAAACCGAAAGTTTTTGAGGATAACACTTATTTTCGATCATAAAATATCAGGTCGCAGGACCAATAATAGGTATGCTACTGACGAAACAGTAAGAGCTAATTAACGATATTATACTCAAAGAAAATCATAGGAGCGTCCATTTTCGTAGTATATAATAGTAGCCTTAATCGATTTTAAAAAGTGCTTTGATGGCTGATAATTATATTTTTCGGATAGTCGTTCCGCTGAAGAATTGGGACCAATAGTCAGTTAAGAAGAGTTAAATGTCAACATTTAATCCCAGCTTTTATCATACATGTAATTAAAAACGCCTAGCATTAATAACAAAACTGAGTCCTCACGCTTATCCAAAGACAGCTTATACTTTGAATTCAACCTTGTCAAAACACCAACTTACATACTACTGAAAACATTGAATAATGAAGTGAATATAAGTCCAACTGCAAACATAGATTTCATTTTAACCTTTTGGAGTGACATACTAATTAGAGTAAATTTTACTTGCCATAGATAACTCCCGATTAATGTTTTTGAATCGCTCTTCTTGCTTCTCTGGAGAATATTAAAAATGTAAGTGAAATTAATAAAAAATCACCTAAACGCTTTTTGGCAGTGCGATCTATAGCTGACTCCGTAACATCTCGTTGCTTCTCTACTTTAAAGATATATAAAATGACAGGTAAAAATACTTACAACGCTTAGATTGCTTGTCTACCTCGGCTTTTAGTTTTTGATATTTTTCTGTTCTATATACGAAAAGCCAAGTTAAGCCTACAACGATTAATTATATTGAGGTTATTGCTACACATCCATACCTTCTCCCAAAAATGCTGTGAAAAAAGATATGCATATGATTGAAAGTGTGTCTTGCAGCATTTTGTCCCAGTACAAATGCGGGAAGATACCTGTTAAGCCACGGAAAAAAATAAAACTAGAATTTTAGGGTTAAAATTTTTAAGGCAAAGTTAAAAAACATTTATCCGTTTGACGAAAAGTATTAACGTCTACACGCCAGTTGCCAGACTAATGATCACTCTCCTTAAGTCTAAGTTCTCGTGCAGAACCAATGGTAATGAGGTTTACTAATTGCCAATTCATTCGTATATATAATGATACTGGATCTTTAAAAGACAACATTAAAAGTCTCTACTAAGGCACAAAATACAGCTCATTTTTGGTGACAGTAGGATCGTTTTTAAGGCTTCAAGGTGAAGTTTCGAACCATAACTATGAACAAACCTTTGCCTTGCCAGGATTTCACGTTTGTTTAACTTAACCCTTACTTACAGTTATTAATCTTAATATCTTGAGAACAAATAACCAAACTTTGGTTGCAAAACAACGTTCTTTTCTACAAACCGGAAGTCTTTGACTGATGCCAGTTGAATTTAACTAGATAGTATTCCAGTTGTTTTTATAACAAACCTTTTATTTTTAGGGCAACAACTTCCCTGACAGCGATTGGAAGGAATATGGAAAATTGCTTTTTTCTTGTCACAAATTTTGAACTAACTGAACAGAGTTCAGTGAGTATTACCTTACAGGACCTAACAGTTTTATTTCGGAACATCGACCTGAAATTTTTTTTATTTAACAATTCCGCATAAACAGATAAGCGAATGTCCGGCGCTTTAACCGGGTCAGTGAACACGGAGAGTCCACCTAGGGGTGTAGGAAAACTCTGATTCCAAACCAATGGTGTACATGGGCCCCATGATCCTGAGGGAACAAATGGCGTATGAACCAATTGTTGGTCACCGGTTACCATGGGACTGCATCTCCTGACGTCGCTCCACTGCCTTGTGGATCAGACCTCTAGGTCGAAGGCTCCAGGCGTGCTCCCCTAAGAAAATCACCTGCCTCGGTCTGGGAACCCGGGTAATATCACAGCTCACACACAGATCAAGTGATTTGTGTGGCGCATATGTATTCGGTGCCCCTTTGTACCAAATAAATAAATAAATAATACATAAGAATGTGAGGGTAAGTTGAAAGAACACAGGCCAATAATGGACAAATTATTTAGATATTGATGTGAGATATTTTACCGAGCTTACGGAGATTTTCTTACAGTTTGTATTCTTGATATGATGATCAAGGTTTAATTCACTGGAGATTGAGCGACTTGATGAATCTTTTCTCTCTAATCGCCTATGACATTTACCCATACTTAAATTTAGGCCATTTTGTACATAAGTGTGTTATCTTATTTGACGAAAATGGTTCCAGTGTCGTAAGCAGCCACTGCTCAGTCAATTTGTATTTTTGCATATCATATGTCGATTGGATTACTTTAACCATAAGTCGTTTATTTATTATTTATTTATTTATTTTAACACATAAGTATAGGTACAGGGAGGCACCAAATACATATGCGCCACACAAAACTCAATTGATTTGTGTGAGGGCTGTGATACTGCCCGGGTGCCCAAACCGAAGCAGGTGGTTTTCTTAGGGGGCCACACCCCGAGCCTTTGACCTGAACGTCTGACCCACAAGGCAGTGGAGCATCGTAAGGAGATGCAGTCCCATGGTAGCCGGTGGCAGAGGCTATATACGCATGGCCATGTGAGAGCATTTCGAGAGGGAGAGCGGACTCTCCCCACTCTCGGCCGTACCAGGGCATTTGGGGGCAACCATAAATCGGATAGTACCTAATTCACAGTAATCCTTTATTTCATTCCAGCACTACATTTATTGTTTCTACAGAGCCTTATTTATTTATTTGAACACATAAATATTGGTACAAGAAAGCCCCACAGAGCTAGAGTATTTTGAGGAAATCTTTATTCCACGGCTTAATTCTCGCACAGCCGTACAGAGTTACTTTCGCGCCTGACTGTTATCGTTTTCGATAGATTCGTCATTGAAAAAAATGGTATGTATCGACGATTGGGCGAGACTATAGTTTATGGGCGAACCAATCAGGCATAAGATAACAGGTCTCGGATTCCAGCGCGAAATTCACTCATCTATTTGGCTAAATAGTTTTGGCATTATAGCTGATGGCAGTTCGTGATGAAAACCCTAAATGGAATTCCTAGCTCCAACCATCAACTGTAAATTATAATTATAATTCCTCATAATGGTTTATAGCCCTTACTTGGTCCTAGTTATTAGATGAAGACTCTCAAGGTCGCTAGCGTTGCTCAAAGGTCGTCCATAGTCTCACCGACGATTGTACAACTGTAAACAGAATCCCTGAAAAAAAAACATTTTCCGCACTTCGTTTTTATTTTATATCTCGATGTATATTTGCTGTATATTATTTCTACGGATTTGTTAGTTCAGTCAGTCAGTAACAACGTGGAACTTCGTACGTACGTACATCAGTTCGAGTTGCCATACCACATTAGCACAGAGATTCAGTTATCGATTCAAATCCCATAGTGGTAGAGGTACTAAAAGTATAGGTAGTGATAGGGAACATTAGGGTTTGATGATGTTATTAAAGGAGTATAGTCCAGTGGAATAAATTGGGAAAGAAAATAAAGGACATGAAGAATTCAGAAGATTAGAGTTTGAGAGAACACAAAGAGTGGATGCACCTGCGCCATTGCAAACGATTTTGAGCCATGTCATTCAAGGTCTCTAACCATCGGTTGCTATCGTCTTGCGGTCCCCAACCAGGTAGTCTACACCTACCAACATGACTCAGTCCACTTGTCAGTGACTTCATGGATTTGTGCCATGTTTTGGTCTGGCCGCCCTTAGCTTTCTTCCAACCTACTCCTACACCATAAAACATAGCACGTCGGGGCAGTCGGTGGTCGGGCATGCGCAATACATGTCCCAGCCATCTCAACTGGTGAAGTTTCACTACTTCCTCAATTGATTTGCCATCCTTACCTAGTACCCGTTTCATAACAACTGCATTACTTACTCGGTGGTCCCAGGATATACGAGCGATGTTTCGAGTCACCTATGGTCAAATACTAGTAACCTACGAATATCCTCTACTCTTACTGGCCATGTTTCACTGCCATAAAGTAGGACGGAACGAACTGCTGCGCAGTAAACACGTCCTTTGGTTGCTAGACGGATATCTCGCCTACGCCACAAATGACGCAAGTTGGCAAAAGCTAGTCGAGCCTTCTGTATCCGTGCTGAGATTTCGTCACACACCAAACCACAAGGGCTGATGAGACTTCCGAGATAAGTGAAGCGGTCGACACGCTCAACTACTTCACTCCGTATCACTAGTTCGGGTGTCGACGCAACCCAATCCTGAAGCAACATTTTGCATTTCGAGGGAGAAAATCGCATGCCGAACATGCTTGCATTGTTGCTTAGAGTGGTCAGTAGACTCTGCATTCTGTCAGCGTCTTCACCAAATAGAACTATGTCATCGGCATATTCTAAGTCAACAAGTGGACCTCCCGGTAGAAGTTCAACTCCTGGAAACTTAGATGAGGAAAGTGTCATCTCTAAAAGGACGTCAACGACAAAGTTAAACAAGAATGGAGAGAGTGGACAGCCCTGACGAACACCACTTGAGGTAATCAATTCTGACGACAGTTCACCATAAGCCCTCACTCGACCAGTTGTGTTCGAGTAGAGAGCCTTTATAAGGTTGATGTACTTCTTTGGTACTCCCTTCAGTGACAAACACTGCCATAGAACCTCACGATCAACAGAGTCAAATGCCGCCTTAAGGTCGAGAAATACTACCACTGTGGGGCGTCTGAATGTGTCTATGTTCTAGGACCTGACGTAGTGTGAATATTTGATCTATACAACCACGTCCAGGTCGTAAACCAGCCTGGTTTTCTCTAGTCTGCATTTCACGAGCTTTGGTTAGACGTCGAAGTATTATTGAAGCTAATATTTTAGACACTATATTAGTTAAACTAATTCCTCTGTGACTGTCACAAGAAGACTTTTGTCCTTTTTTATAGACTGGCACAATCAGTGATTGAGACCAGTCAGATGGAATTACGTCCAGTTCCCAGATTCTACCTAAGACCTCAGTCAATATCGCTGCTAATACTGGACCACCATCCTTAAAAATCTCAGGGGTAAACCTGTCAGGGCCTGCTGCTCTCCCACGCTTCAGATTTCCTGTAGCCTTTTCAACTTCGTCAAGAGTTGGAGGAATTACATCAACTTGCCATTCAGGTCGACTGGAGACCGTGGGAAACCGAAGTGTGGCTGAAGGCCAGTTGAACTGATCCCTAAAGTATTCTGCCCATCGGTCCAATCTCCTGGATTGAGAATGAATAATATGTCCATCTTTCTCTGTGATTGTTTCGCTAACAGTTGGGTTCCTAATACCGGTTTCCTTAACAAGTCTGAACAGTTGCCTGCTGTTACCTTTTGCCGCTGCCTTTTCCATCTCTCTTGCTTTCGCTACCCACCACTGTTCACGATCATTGCATAGGCTTCTAGTCAGCTTACGCTTAAGCTGACTCCGCTCTTCGTTATGTTCAGAGCCACATAGAATGAGTTTTCGAGCATCTATCAGTGCGGTAGACGCTGCTGAGATCCAGTGTTTCTCCCTAACCTTATGGTTTACCGTATTTGCAGACATCACTGCTGTTTCTACAGCTTTTCGGATGTCATTCCACGCTGCCTCGGGGTGGGCGTCACTTACATGGCTGTCTAACTGTTTTTCTAGATGTTCCTGAAATATACTCTTAGCTTGACTATCATTTAGTAGGACCCTAAGGGGTTTCCTTGAAGCATGTTTCCTACGTCCAGTAAGACGTAGACAAATACGCGCTCGCACTAGAGCATGATCTGAGTCTAAGCATGTGCTCCAGAATGAGCGACAGTCTTCTATCGAGCCCCTCCATCGGTGGCAGATAGTGATGTGATCTATTTGGGTCCAGCGTTGGGACGAATTAGGAGGTCGCCATGTCAAAAGATGTTTTTCCTTATGCTTAAAGTTAGTGTTTGCAAGAAACAGGCGGTTATCTGAGCATAGCTGCGACAGACGGTCGCCGTTATCTGTTCTTTGAACCGCGACACCATAAGATCCACCCAGGTGTCTTTCCTTTTCGCTTAGTTTACCTACTTGAGCATTAAAGTCACCAGCCACTATTACTACATCTGAACGCCTAGCTTTTCGGAGGACGGAAAGCTTCCTGTAAAACTCATCTTTTACATCATCTGAGCTGCAGTCAGTGGGAGAGTAGGCAAAGACGACGAAGAGGCAACGACGAGTATCCCTATCTTTTCGAGTCCTTACTGTTCCGTTTAGTCGGACAGCACACAAACGACTGTCTACTGGGATCCAGTCTAAGAGAGCTAGTTCTGCCCTAGGACCCAATGCTATACCTACGCCAGCGAGGCCACGGGAAGCAGCATCAGGGCTTCCAGATACACGAAGCGTAAGTCGAGTTGGTCCGTTACTTTGACATGGTGCGGTCAAATGAATGACACTACTAGGATCCTGTGTGCGCGTTTCGGAGACACAGCACACATCGATGGAGCGAGATTCTAAAGTCTTAGCTAAGGAAGCCTGTTGTCTTATTGGGCACAGTGTTCGGACGTTGAAAGCTCCTACGTGTAGTCTGGAGCGTGGTTTCAGGAGACCAGGAATAACATTCCGCGTACTCGAATCGTTCGCACTAACGGGGCGAGGTGATAAAGGGACGTAAGAAGGGTTAGTCGTGGAGATAAGAGAGTTATTAGGAGGTGTAGGAAGAATTTGAATGTGACCAACTTGGTCTCGTGTGTTGTTACGGGTATGAGGGCTGATATCAATTCCCGGTTGCCCACACTGTGGAAGAGTATTTCTTGAGGGACCTGAAAAGGAAATCGGATTAGTGTTGGTCTTAGCGACCTGAGTGCGTGACCGCAGAGACCAAGGGACAACTGCTTGGGGCCGGTCGCGCACGGCCTTTTTGTGGGAGGTTTTTAATGTGTTAGCTCCGTTCTTCAAAGGGCCTTACCGCCGGAGACGGAAATCCGTGGGGTAAGGTGAGGTGTGACATTTTTAGGGTCAACCTTTTCTAAACCCTTCCTTCCTTGTGAGAAGGCAGCATCGCTGCAGATGCTGGTTGTCCGAGGGAAACACCTTACTGCTGTCACACCTCTGTACAGTCAGCAGTACGACTTCGCCCTCAGACCTTGAGTTGCTGCTTTTAGTCTTACCGTTCTCCAATCGACCTGCCTGACATGGTAGAACCTGCAGGAACATGTGTTCCAGCCAATATAGCTCGGTTGGGTCATCACGATAGGCAAGCCCGACCACCACGTCAAGGTAGCAGCTACGGTCGGGGGATTTGTTAGTTACTCGAACATCGTGTTAAGTTGGAGTTGATGTTTATTTATTATTTATTTGAACACATAAATATTGGTACAGGGGGGCACCAAATATATATGCGCCACACAAAATAACCATAGGCGAGCTGCTGTCTGAGTCGAAACGGATACAAAAAGTAGAAATAGGAGATAGTGAGTAAATGACGTAGTAAATAATAATAATAATAATAATAATAATAATAATAATAATAATAATAATAACAATAATAATAATAATAATAATAATAGTATCAGTCATTTCAATGTTAGTCAGAGAAGAACGAATATTTTCCGTAAGCGAATATTTCATCATGTTTTGGTGTGTGGGCTGAGATACTGCCCGGGTGCCCAAACCGAAGCAGGTGGTTTTCTTAGGGGGCCACACCCCGAGCCTTTGACCTAAAGGTCTAGTCCACAAGGCAGTGGAGCATCGTGAGGAGATGCAGTCCCATGGAAGCCGGTGACCAAAAGTTGGTTCATACGCCATTTGTTCCTTCAGGATACTGGAGCCCATGTGCACCATAGAATTGGGATCCGGTTATAGCGCCGGACGTTCGCTTTTCGTCCTCTCATTTTCGTAAACAACACCCCCGCCACGAGAAGGCAGTGAGTAGGACTTCCCTGGCAGAGGCTGTATACGCGTGGCCGTGTGAGAGTATTTCGAGAGGGAGGGCGAACCCTCCCAGCTCTCGGCCATACCAGGGCATTTGGGGGCTGGAGTTGATGTAGAAAATTATAATTCGGTGGCAGTTAAATACTAATCTGCCACAAAGCTGCAATCAACCCTCAGACTTCCAGGTCACCGTTTAACGAAATGTACATTTGCTCCCACGAATTATTCTACTTGAGACTTTTTTGGTTTATTGTCTGCCAGCCACATGTAGTTAAACGACTCCATCAACATTTTTAACTCGTTACGAATCTGATTACTCAGTGAATCAAGGAGTACTTCTTCTATAGCTCATATGACTTCTTTCTACTCTGTTCTGGAGAAACGACAGGGTATTACCATAGGAATTAAATTATGTGACGAATGGCAATATCATCAGCAAAAATAATCATAAACACTTTTGGACGACTAAGGACAGAACTGCATGGATAAGATAATCTGATTTCAGCGCCAAATCCATAATCGCATTAAAGCTGATGTTAGTTCTTGATGGAATACCTATTAACTCATGCAGAAAGCTTCGTTATTCATATAAAAACTGTTTATTAATTATGATTGTGTTGCCATGTCACAAATCGTTCCATAACAGAAAATTACTTTGCTGCTGGCTATAAAGCTGTTTTAGTAAGTCCATATATTTTAGTTCCACCAGAAAACGAACGGTAGGAAATCACTTTGAAATTTTTATGTATAATTTCTTGAATATTCCTAAGTCAAGTAACAGTAAGGCAAGGTCTTCGTTGCAGCGTTTAACATTTCGTCCTGAGAGTTTTCCCACTGTAATCAGATATGGTTTTGAATAGTTAGTATTGTTATTACTAACACGTAACTGGAAGTTATGACTTTCTGTAACTGTAGAAAAAACACTACTCGTATATTTAGAACGATGATGAATATTCAGAAAAAAAATTTGACGGGAAAGCACGTTTAGTAAGGAATTACGGAACACACTAACCTCACCAACGAAACACAAACCCGACCGCACAGCACGTAGATCAAACTGCCCACCTTTCATCAACCTACGTCAAACAACAATTGTTGTTATGCTGTAATACAGAATTAATGGTTACTGATGATATTGACATTTAGGAAATGGGTTCGAGATATATAAAGGATTCCAAATTTGGGCTTGCCTCGTGGTGCAGTTTGATAATTTCCGTTGTACCGGTAAATAAATCCACAAAATCAATAGCTCTGTAAATCTTAAACATTTGATGATGACCACATTAGTTCCAATGGTCTCACCCAGCTGAGGGCGCTCGGCCACATATCCGCACCAGATCACGAGTAGAAACGCCATTCTCAAATTCTCCTGTAACCGCTAGCCAGCTTAGATCAGTCATATCTTGATATATTGATAACCTATCAAACATATCTTCGAATCTCCTCGCTTTTGCTGACGGTTTCCGACCGACGAACATTCAATATCTTGGGTAGACAATTGTTTACAAACACTACTATCATTTTGATGATGGTTGCGGTAGTTCTACAAGTTTGAGCTCCGTACAAAAAAACTGCATTGACGCTCGAATTGAATATTCCGAGTTTGAGTTCCATATGTTCTTCAGCTGAAGGATCACTGTCCTTGCTATACCAGTTCCAGTCTTTACGTTTTCATCAGATTCTCCACGTTCATTGATGATGCTGTCTAGGTACGTGAAAGCTACCATCTCTTCTAGAGTTTCTTCATCGAGTGTGATTGGGTTGGTCCTTTCTGTGTTGCACTTGAAGATATTGCTTATTCCCTTGTGTATGCTGGTGCTTATCGATTCAGAGGCTTCTGCCACACTGGTTGTTTTCACTTGAGTTTGTTGGTGTGTATGTGAAGTAGAAGAGCTAGGTCCAGATCATGTACTTGTCCATCGTATTCCATGCTTCCCCTCAGTTGTCATAATCCGGTCGACCACCAGAAGAACGAGAAAGAGGAAGAGTATACAGCCTTTTCTGACACCACTAACTTCATCGTGTCGAAAAATGTTCCATGAGGTTCTTCTATACACACGGCCAAGGAATTTGACGTATGGTGACAAATACTATTCAATTGATTGCTCAACGGTGATTCATATTGTTGTCATTTGGTCGGTACACGATCAATTTGTATGGGACCCAGCCTGTTAATCTTGAAGGTGTGCATCTACCAAATTTTTAATTCGGTTCAGCAACATTGTTGAAAACGTTTCCTGAGACTGATAGCGATATGACGTCTCTGTAGTTCTCATATTTACTCAGATCTTTTTTCTTTGGTACCTTTATGTGGCGTCCTTCTTTCCATTCTGCCGGCAGTTATTATTATTATTCACAAACATCTTACGGGTACATAAGTGTTGTGAAGAAACCAATATTACACAAGTTTCAATAATGTTAGCATCACATTCGCCATATTTGAAAAAAGAGAATAATAATGATAATGGAATAATAATAAATCAGGTTCTATGTAATTAAGAAGAATATTGAATTGAGTTTAAAGAAGGAAAGGAAGAAAATAAGGGAATAGAAATGAAGGAGACGTGAGGTATGCAGATAGTTTTATAAGCGTGTTTATGAACACTGAACAAGAATGAACGACTATGTATGTATCGTCAAATTAGTAACAAAAATAAAATAGAAAATAATTAAGGAAAAATACTTGTTATTGCAGTAAGATATGACGCTAGAATAAATGTTTGTGCAGTCATAGTTTGGAGTGATGCTATGAAAGTCACAATTAAGTAAAGGGAATAACGAAATATCAATAAGTATGAGTAATATATTCATGGTGAAGATAAAACGAGTCTGAGAAGTTAATTTAAGTGTAATACAAGTTATTTTCTTAGTTACAAACTTCGTAAATTTAAGAATAATATTTATTTAGAAGGGAAAAGAGAGAGAGAGAGAAAAGAAATGAACACCTAGTGAAAGGGTTCAACCATGATAATAATAATTGTGTAACGAATATCGACCTCTGAAGTTAACCAACAATTAAAAAAAATAAAATAGTGCTTTCGGATAAATACATGTAGGTTTATGCAATAGTATATAGAGTGAAACAGGATATTAATATAAACATTTGTGCAATAATAATTACGAATGATGTCATAAAAGCCACGATTAATTGCAAAAGATAATCAAATATAAAATTCTATATATATATATATATATATATATATATATATATGTATATATGATGAAGATAAAATGAATCGGAGAAGTTAATTTATTTAGGTGTACCGTTAGATAATTTGTTTTTAGTTATAGACTTTGGATATTTGGGAATAATATATGTTCGGAAGAATAAGAAGAGATGAAAAGAATATCTTATGTGTCGAGGGACCAACAATAATATTAATAACAGTAATAATTCTAGATACGAATATAAACAGATTTCATATATTAAGATGAACAGAAAGACAATAAAATAAAATAGACGTTAAAAGTTCCAGGGATTGCATCTTGCTTTTCAGTCAATTAGATGGATGACGGACCTTGTTTGTATAAACCATTATTATATACATTGATATTCAATAGGTGACACAATCCACTTTCGGAAAGAAAATCATCAAGGAGACTTCTGAACCGGTTGTAGTTTCACTGCAACGTAGATTCACTGGCAGTCTGTTCCACATGGTTTAGTAGCGAATAACGAAGAAATTATGGCGTAAGTTTGTGTGGAATCTTGGAATTGCTAGAATATTTTCCTTATTGTGTAGATTGTGAGATGATATCATAGAGTATGAAGGAGTGGATACCGAAGGGTAGGAAATATCGTTAATAAGCCGGTAAATAAAGACAAGGTTTAATTTGATTCGTCTGATCAGAGAGTTTCTAATTTAAGTTGTTGACATCTTTGTTGATAGTCTTTGTTGTTGGAATACCTCAGAACAGCTTTCGTGAACCTTTCGTGCCTTATGGTAACCCTCGCGTTATTAATAGAAGAGACCAGACTCGTAGGAAAATAGGTCTTTATTTTGATCTTCGCACAGTCACAGTGGAGCGTTGGATTCTTTACTCAGAAAAACAAAACCTCTTAACAAGCAAAATAAGATAGATAGAAATATAACGCCTAGACAAAATAAAGAAGTGAATAAATATCTGAAATATGCTGTTTTGATATATGCTTATTTGCTTGAGATTAACTCTTGACAACCAACCTAAGCTCTTACAAACCTTCTTTGAACACCTTCAATTTTAATCAGGTCATTATGTCTGCAATTACTGTAAACTAAAATACCATGTCACGACCGAACTACTAGTATTCGGTTTGAACGCAGGACCGACGAACCAAAACCAAAACGTATTCGAATAGGCCAGACTATTCTTGTAGTGGCATTGGGCCCTATCACGAGACAATATGAGAAATAGACATTAAACATTTAACGCGGAGGAATACAGAAGAATGGAGAAGGCGGGGAGAATAAATTGAATTAATACGAGTTAATCTTATGGCATGGCTCAACCATGCAGGCGTGGTCCCTCCTGCTAAATGCTACGTTATGTCTTTTATTCATATTAAATGTATTGTTACATCTCTAGCCTAAGCTTGTTCTCTATCACGTATTGGTAATTGTTACAATGCAATGAATTGGTGTAGGCGATGATGTAACTTCCACGTAAGATCTTATAGATTAGGCAGTTACATCATGATAAATCTACAATTTTAGGATTAGGTCTATTATTAGAGCAGTGCTAATATCATAGTAGACCATAATTCCACACTCTCTTCTGTATGGCTTACCAAGCGTTTTGGAGACACTCGTGTTAAATTATGTCAAAACACAAACTCTGTGCTCAATTTAAACGGTTCTAATTTAGGAAATAGAACAAATCGTATCAAAAATACAAATACCTCAAACGGTACAGCCTGTGCTATACAGTCAGAAGTTTCTCTAACTCAAAGTAGTGCGCTAAACAATAAAAGAAACAGTCAATACCGAAGGATTTGATACCTGAGAATCAATGAAAAGATTCCCAACAAACGGGATCAAATATCTATCTGCAGGGATTCCAGAAATCCCCCCAAGCAGACAGTCAAAAGGTTAACAGTCACACTGAATCACGCCGTGACCTAGAGCTTGGTTAAACACGACCTTACTGTCAATAGTCCGGCAACATGTAATAAAAAATTGGGTAACAAAAAGATCAGTTTTTAATCAAAATCACATAATAAAAGCCCAAACGAGATCTGAACAAAGGTAAAAATACATGACAGGGAGAAGAAACAAATATATGAAAATACTGTCCAACAAAAAAGGCTGCAGAGGGATTTTCATTGTTCTCTTTCCGTTACAACCATATTCAAGAATGGGTAAGATGCATTTTCTGTATAATAATAATCTTGATTCAATATTATTGAAGTTTATCATTATGAATCCGATGAGCTATCTAGCTTTGGACACTTGAGATGCAATGTGCTCAGAAAAGTTCAGACTGTTGCCTCCCAAATCTCCTTGCATTTACTTCAATGTCTGATGTCAGTGCTCCATCAGGTATATTGTCAGGTCCTAGTGCTTTCCCACTCCTGATTTGTCTGATGACCATACCGATTTCTTCAATTGTTGATGGAGTGACAGTTATAGTGTGTGTTTGTGATGCTTCGATGCCCTCTGGGTTCAATTGAACTGATCATTTCAAAAGTTCCCCAAAGTGCTGTACACATCTGTTCCTCTATTCTTCAGTCTGAGTGATTGGTTTGCCTTCTTTGTCCTTGATTGGCCTCTACGGCATGCAGTTTTTCCCTTTTAGTTTCTTCGTTGTATTATATATTTGTATCGTGTTTCTTTCTCTTGTAGCTTTTTCCCGCTGTTGTTGCTAGTTCTTCCATATATTTACACTTATCGGGTCTAGTGCTCCTCTTCACTTGCTTGTTTGTTTCGGTGTATTTTATTTGTACCTTCATTGTCTGTTTTTGTTCAACCGTTTTTTAAATGCTATTTACTTATTATTTTTTCTTGAATCCGGCTTAAGGCGTCGATAAAGGTCCGTATCTTGTGATGATGCTTCTTAAGGCTAAGGACCTCCAGTCACCTGTTGTTGAGATTT